GCCGAAGCTTTTGCTCATGGTTTTGCCGAGCCTTTGGCCGAGGCTTTCGCCAACCCTAGTGCTCTAGCTGAAGCTTTGGCCGAGGCTTTTGCTAAACCTTTTGCCGATGCTTTTGCCAACCCTGCGCTTTTGCCACCAGCAGTGAAAAGTTTGCTAAATAAGTTTATTAAGATTTAAGGTACAGTGTTCTAACCTCTTTAACTTAAACTGATTTAACTACATATCTTGAAAATATTGTTTATTACTCATTTATATAGTTGTCTATATTTTACAGTGTAAAGATAAGCAAATAATTTTTTTTATATTTTTATGACTTAATTAATATTCATCGTTTATTACCTATTGTTGGGAAAAATAAATAATTATAAAATAATTTACAAATTGAATATACAATTGCCAAGATTTGTTTATATCTTTACACAAAAATATAATACTTAATGTGTTTTTAACGCAGCTTTATCATCGAGTCATGTTTAATCTTGTAAATTCCTTATTTTGTAATATATTTGAAAAATTATAACAAAAGAAAGTCAGATTTGTAACATGACATCATTCTTTAAAACTGTTTTGATATTATTTTTTTCAATTTACATATCAATAAATCAATTAATAAATTTATTAAGAAATCTATGTTTATATTGTAGGAAAAACTCAAGATGGAATACGAAAAACTGGGTCTTATCACCAGTAGATTATGTTAAGCACAAAGTGGAAAAATATTTGTTTAATAAAAAATCTAAAAAAGCAATGAGATTTTATTAATGTCATTGTAATACATTATTGGCGTTATATTTGTAAAAATAAACGTATTAATTCCAAATAAATACAGCAGCAAATTAAATTAATTTCTTGTTGATCAACTATCTCACCTATTCCATAGACAGTTTTACATGCAAACAAAGTAAAATAAATATTTCGCGTTAAAACTTAAATGATTTTGTTAAAGAAAAATTATGTTTTAATGCAAAAAATGTTGCTTTGGAAAGGTAAAGCAATCCTATTATACATACAGATATTCAGATATTACAATAAATATCATTCTGTAGATTAATAAATTATTAATATAATATATAGATTAGAGAAATAATATAGCAAATCTTTAAAAAAAAATAGAAGAATTAAAATATATATATCTATATATGCAAATATAAATAAAAAATATATATGTATATTTGAAAAGAATATTTAAATCTGTAACAAACAATTGTATAATATAAGTGCAAACGAAATGTGGCAAAAAGACATTATTTCTGGAACACAATGATTATAAATTTCTATTTCTGAAATCCAGATTAAAAGATAATTTTGAATAGAAACGGAACAATATTATAAAATGCATAAGCAAATGAAATTTATAAGCAAATTTTAAATATCGACATTCAGGTTTATTATGAATTAAAAATATGTTTAATTTGTAGTTTGACACATGTTCAACACGCAGTAATATTGCAAATCTCTTTACTGGTGTAGGTACTCTGTAGTAATAAAAATTGTGATGATTATCTTTATGTGGTCGCATATTTTTCAAACTATTA